ATAAAAAAAATTAATGAAATTTATGTCTTTCTTGGATAAAAGAAAAAGAAAGATGTTAAAAGAATGTGTATATATGAAGATGTATGGAAAAAAAAACGCTATACCATAAAAAAAATAATGAAATTTATGTCTTTCTTGGATAAAAGAAAGAAAGATGTTAAAAGAATGTGTATATATGAAGTATGAAAAAAAAAAAAACGATATACCATAAAAAAAATAATGAAATTTATGTCTTTCTTGGATAAAAGAAAGAAAGATGTTAAAAGAATGTATGTAAATGATGTATGGAAAAAAACGCTATACTATGTGATACTTGTGTAGAAAAAACCCACAATGCACAAGTTAGATTATTGAAAAAAATGCATTTTTTTTACCATATATGAATATATATGAAATAAAAACGGTATTACTCTAATCTGATATATCTGTGAAAAAAATTTGAAAAGATGCCGCAAAAAATAAGATGTATTTTATCTTACCAAATTCTTTACACAGACCAATGCGTCATCATTTTTTTTTTTCCTTTTTTTTTCCTTTTTTTCAGTTATACGGCTTTTAGACTCTGCAAAGGCTCTACTGAATTACCGTTTACTGTTACAACGTCTCAGATGGTCTTAATTTACACACGAGATAAGGCTACGAATTGGGGAGACTTTGTGTGCCGAGTTACTGCTGTTGGTACGTAATGAGAGAGAGAGAGAGAGAGAGAGAGAGAGAGAGAGAGAGAGAGAGAGAGAGAGAGAGAGAGAGAGCGCGAGAGCGAGAGCGAGATCCACATCATCATCATCATCATATCGCAAATCCTCTTCCATTTTTGCCATTGCCATTCCTCTCCCTCTCCCCCCCCCTCCCCCCACCCCCCTTGACAGCCAGAGAACAAGTACAGCTTCATTGGATACAAATTTTCCTACTTGACACCTGCCTCAGCACCTGTTCGAGCGCCCACAAATGACAGGTAAATACTCCTCCTGTTCATTATCTCTCTCGTCTGTTGCTCAATTTTGCGTATAATGCCACACAATGCAAATAATACTGTGCATATCCTGGTTTTCTTTTTATATTTTTTCGTATGTCAAAGTTCTGTTGTTTTTTTCTCATGTATAAGTTGTTTTTAATTTTTTCTCTGTTTTTCTAGAGGATGCATGGCATACGGTGAAAAGGGTAACGAGCTTAAAGTAAATTGCAATATGTGTAAAAAGGTAACTTGTGTGTATTTGCCACATTATTTAATTAAAAATGATAATAATTTTTATTCTTTAGTGCATTTCAGAAAATCGACAAGCCACTGTTTCGCCAGTCTTTCCCCGAGACAAAGAAAACGAAGATAAACATGATAAAAATTCTTGACATCGCGCACGATCTCCGAATGTTTATCAGACAACGAGCCTAACTTTTTTTCTAACGTGTTTTGTGTTTTGAAAAGAAAAATTACAGGTTTATTTATTGGTACGACGTCCCAGATAATTAAGTCGTCAGGCTGATTTATTGGTCATATACCATACCCGGAAATGAAGATGAAAATGAAAATAGAAAAAGAATACCGCTGTTTTATTTTTATCCTCACAGGTGTTGCGTATTTCTCTACAGCCATTATCTGTCTGTCTATCCACCTGTCTCTCTCTCTCTCTCTCTCTCTCTCTCTCTCTCTCTCTCTCTCTCTCTCTCTCTCTCTCTCTCTTATATATATATATATATATATATATATATATATATATATATATATATATGTTTATATATACATATGTATATATATGTATACATATATATATAGATATATAGATATAGATATAGATAATATGTATATATACATATATACATACATATATATATATATATATTGTATATATATATGTATGTTCATATGTATTTATATATATGTATATATATATATATATATATATATATATATATATATATATATATATATATATATATATATATTTTTTTTTTTTTTTTTTTTTTTTTTTTTTTTTTTTTTTATCTATTTGCACACACGTATTCCTCCATCTCCAGTCCACCTTTACTCTTCTCCTCCACCACCATTACTGTCTCCTTCTCCACCATTCCATTACTCTCCCATTCACCTTACTCTCCTCCACCACCATTATTTCTCTTCCTTCTCCGCCATTATTCGCCTCCTCTACCATTACTCTTTCGCCACCATTCTATTGCCCGCCTCCTCCTTCTCCACCAATACGCTCTTTCGCCAACTTTCCATTTCTCGCCTCCTTCTCCACCATTACTCTCCTTCCCTTTTCCTTCCTTCCACTCCATATATTACAGCTAATCTACTACTACTATTGCTTCTACTACTGCTACTATTACAATCACTGTAACTGCTACTACTACTACTACTACTATCTACTGCTATTTTTATTACTACTACGATTACTCCACCATTTCACCATTACTTCTCCTCCTCCTTCTCCACCTTCTTCTTCTCTTCTTCATTCCATCATTATTCTCCTCCTCTTTCTCCCCATTCCACCATTACTTCTCCTCTTTCTCCACCATTACTTCTCCTCCATTCCTCCATTCTATAATTATTCTCCTCCTCCTCTCTCTCCTTATTCCACCATTACTCTCCTCCTCTTTCTCCACCTCTTCATTATTCTCCTTTTAATTAATCTCCTCTTTCTCCGACTTCCCCACCACTCTTCCCCTTCTCCTTCTCCCGCATTCCACGCACACAAGGTTAACATAGTGATACACATATTTATATCTATTTTTATTTCATGACACATTATACATATTTCATATCAAACATTATACATTTCATATTATCCATTATAGAATACACATTTCATTATCCATTTATATATCATATACATTTCATATTATACATTATACACATTTCATATTATACATAATACATATTTGCATAGTTCATATACATTAATAGACACAACTTAAACATATTCCTTAACGTATTTCATATATCTATTGGCATATTATGCATATGTACCTATTTACAGAATTAGACATATCACAAAGAATATGGCAATTGAAGTGAAGTGAAGTTTCTCGTCAAGGGGAAGAAGGCACCAGCTGGGACTCGAACCGTCGACCTCAGGTGGACGACACAACCGTCCGATGCTCTAACCACTCAACCACTGTATTAAATAAATATAATTGGTCTTTATATATTTCAGTTTTCTTCTATGGCCTTCTCTATTGTAATATCGTTTTTATTAGTAGTATTATCAGCGATTGATTATAGTTATTATTCATTTTTTTATGTTTCTTTGTCTAATCCCTTATTTCTTATATTCTCTTGGTTTCTGTTCTTTGTGTAATTTGTTTTTTTCTGTTTGTTTGCTTGTGCGAATCTGCGTATGTGTGCGGAAGAAAGAGATTAACGGATAGATAAATGGAAAAAATAGAGATAGGTAGATAAATAGAGGCAGATAGACAGCCAGATATATAGATAGAAAGATGGATGCGTATGTGGAAGAGTGTTGCATGTACATGAGTGTATGTGTGTGTGTGTGTGTGTGTGTGTGTGTGTGTGTGGTGTGTTGTGTGTGTGTGTTTTGTCAACTGTCACAAGTGAAAATCCGCTACCAGAGGCCTTAAATTTCGCTAGATTTTAGAAAAGGTACTTTTTATGATATATTTAATTATCTAACCCGCATGTTGTAGCTGGAAGAAGACTACTAATCCATATCAACTGCGAGAGAGAGAGAGAGAGGAGAGAGAGAAGAGATAAAATAGCGAGAAAAAAGGGAGGGAACACTTACCAAACTTCGTTGTAACTTCTCCCAGGACAGGGAGGGAGAGAGAGAGAGAGAGAGAGAGAGAGAGAGAGAGAGAGAGAGAGAAGAGAGAGAGAGAGAGAGAGAGAGAGAGAGAGAGAGAGAGAGAGAAGAGAGAGAAAGAGAAAGAACAGAGAGAAAGAGAGAGAGAGAGATTCATATAAATGTATCGATGTATTGATTTTATTCATACATTTTGAGAAATACATCCGAGTGATACTGATAAGACAATACTGTTGAATAGCTAAGGCGATCCGGATACCAATACAAAAGTAAACACGTCTGTTCGATGATATCAAACTCTCTTTTGCTGTGCACGTGACACGGAGCAAAAAAAAAAAGCGCGTACGTCTGGGTATCTGGCCTATGTATATATATATATATATATATATATATATATTAATATATATATATATATATATATAAATAATATATGTATATATATATATATATGTATATAACTATATATCATATATGTATACATGTATGTATATATATATATATATATATATATATATATATATATATATATATATATATATATATATATATATATATATATATGGTGTGTGTGTGTGTGTTTGTATGTATATATTGCACCCCCACATATGTATATATACACACATATATATATTATGTATATATATCAATTTACATATATACTTATATATATACATATATATAATATATATATATATATATATATATAATATATATATATATACACACACACACACACACACACACACACACACACACACACACACACACACACATATATATATATATATATATATATATATATATTATATAATATATTGAGAGAGAGAGAGAGAGAGAGAGAGAGAGAGAGTTGACAAAAATGTAATCATTATAAATAATACTTATCAAACTTTTATAAATCAATACGTAAAAACATTGAAAACAAATTTCACAATACGACTTGATATTCCCCAAACCTTCCATTCTCTACCAACTGTTTTTTTTTTTCTTTTTTTCAACATTCTGATTCCACATACAGACGCAACGCATGAAACCAGCTGTTACTTTCTATTCCACATTCATCAGCTGTTTAACAAGTGTTTGAAGTGTTAGCACAGCTGTTGCCTTGTTTTAGTCAGGTCGGGTCGCTGTGTACAAAGGAGTATATACACATTTTTCCCTTTCACTCGGTCTGTTGCGCCAAAAATTATGGTTTCTAGCCATATATATTTACACCTGGCACGATGGTCCAAAACTACCCTTAAACTACAAAGCTAACACTGAATATATTGAAATCTAAATTGATAAACAGTTATAACAGAAATGATAAATGATAAATGGATAAACAATTATAACAGAAGGAAGGTTAATTGGCTATCACCCCTCCCCCCCCCACCCGCTCATTTTTTTTTTTTGGGGGGGGGGGGGGCAGTTGGTGGCGGCAGAGCTTTCGAGTGATAAATTACTTTTATCTTTTTTTTTTTTTTTAGTTGAACTGTCTTGTTCACATGATATACGGAGTGTTGGGTGTGGTATATGTAACTTTTCATTTGTAGAAATGTGTGTATATATATAATATATAATATATATATATATGTATATATATATTATATATATATATATATATATAATATATATATATAATGTTTACTTATGTACACACACACACACACACACACACACACACACACACACACACACACACACACACACACACATATATATATATAATATATATATATATATTATATATATATATATATATATTTATATATATATTCGTATATGCAACTGAGCTCTCATGAGACATCTTTACCAAGTCAGAGTTAAGTATTTACTTTTATTCTATAGATATTTATACTACACGGTAATCATTTGAGTATTACACAGCCATCCAACCTCACAATTATCATTTCACTTTCCAGTCATTCACGGTACAGCAAGTGAGATATGTTGCTCTCTACCGCAAATAATGCAAGTGAAATGAATGGTAATTGAAAGATGGAAAAATACAATGGCCGCATTGGTAGGTAATGTCTATGGATGCTAGTAAGCTCCTAGTTGCACATTTCTTTTGTTGGGTCGTGTATCAGTGGATAGAGTGCCCGTCTTGTGAATTCTTTGCAATGGCGGTGGGGGTTCGAATCCCTGTCAGAGAGGTTTATAAATTCATGAATGGTAATTGTTTACGAAGAGACATCACACGTCTGCAAGTACCATCAATCCACAATGTTTTCTTAATTTCTGGATTTCTTTTCCTGTGAAGATTATATCGTGTATCAGTATATGTAGTTTTATTTCTTCTTAATCATATTGTCAGTAGATTTTTCCACAACTTTGTGTGATTATTTAGTAATTGTTTAGAAGTTTTATATATCGTATAGTTTTCTTAATCTTAACTTGCGGAGAAAATATAAAAATAACGATAGATGAAAAGTCTTATTTCTTGTCGTTTTGTCCATTACAATCAAAATTTTTAAGTTGTACAATTCGACTGTTTTGAACTGGAACTATTCCCGGACTATTTGGTGTGGCGAGTGTAACTTCTGATTTGTAAAAGTGAGTTGTTTTTCTTGTTGTTTTTATTTGTTTTATTTCCTGTTTTTATTTGTTTTATTTCTTGTGTTTATTTGTTTTTATTTCTTGTTTTTATTTGTTTTATTTCTTGTTTTTATTTGTTTTTTTTGTTTTTATTTTGTTTTTATTCTTGTTTTTATTTGTTTTATTTACATTGTTTTTATTTTTTTTATTTACATTGTTTTTATTTGTTTTATTTACATTGTTTTCATTTGTTTTATTTCTTGTTTTTATTTGTTTTATTTCCTGTTTTTATTTGTTTTATTTCCTGTTTTTATTTGTTTTATTTTTCTTGTTTTTATTTGTTTTATTTCTTGTTTTTATTTGTTTTATTTCTTGTTTTTGTTTTATTTCCTGTTTTTATTTTTTTTTGTTTTATTTGTTTTATTTCCTGTTTTTATTTTTTATTTCTTGTTTTTATTTGTTTTATTTCTGTTTTTATTTGTTTTATTTCCTGTTTTTATTTGTTTTATTTCTTGTTTTTATTTGTTTTATTTCTTGTTTTTTTTGTTTTATTTCTTGTTTTTATTTGTTTTATTTCTTGTTTTTATTTTGTTTTTTTTGTTTTATTCTGTTTTTATTTGATTTATTTCTTGTTTTTATTTGTTTTATTTTGTTTTTATTGTTTATTTCTTGTTTTTATTTGTTTTATTTCTTGTTTTTATTTGTTTTATTCTTGTTTTTATTTGTTTTATTTACATTGTTTTGCCTGAAGACCAGCTCGTGTCCTCACCTTATTAGGTCTTTCATTCTTTGTCCATATTTGGTTTTCCTTTGAATTATATTTAGTTCTATATTGATATATAGATAAATAGATGGATTGATTAACAGGTATGAATATATTGATAGATGATGGATAAACAGATAGACAAACACACACGCACACACACACATACAACCACACTTACACATACATACACATACACTCACACACGCGCGCACACACACACACACGCACACACACACACACACACACACACACATATGTATGTATATATGGAGAAAGAGAGATAGAGAGAGATCAGAGAGTTCCCAACGTTATTAAACATGCTGAGCCTAGCCGGTGGAACGAAAAATAATTAGAAGGCAAACGTAAAAAAAAGAAAAGGAATCAAAACAAAAAAAAAGAAAACGCAAAAAAAGAGAAAAGGAATCAAAACAGAAAGAAAACACAACGAAACCACAAAACAACAAAAACAAAAAAAAAAAAACAACAAAAACAACAACAAAAACTGACAATCAAAAACAACAACAAAACACGCAATCTTCGCCTCTGTTGTCATGCGAATAGACAGACCGAGGGATCGAGTCCGGACTGCATGACTTCCTGTCAACAGACACTCTGCTCTCAGTGTCTTCCGAACCGTGGGGCTGAGAGGGCACGCTGACAGATACTCCTTATGGGTAGCAGAGAGCAGGGAGAAGTAGGAGTAGGAGGAGTAGGAGTAGTGGGAGTAGGAGGAGTAGTGGGAGTAGGAGGAGGAGTGGGAGTAGGAGGAGGAGGAATAGGGGCAGTAGGAGGAGGAGGAGGAGGAGTGGGAGTAGTAGGAGGAGGAGGAATAGGGGCAGTAGGAGGAGGAGGAATAGGGGTAGTAGGAGGAATAGGAACAGGCGTAGGGGTAGGAATAAGAGCTAGAGTAGGACGAAGAGGGAGTGGCGTAGAGGAGGAAATCGAGGCGTTGGCTACCTCGCTACTCCAACTCCAAGAAAATAGCGACGTGTTCTTTCTCCTCGTTATGGGAATGGTCGTTTTCTGTGAGTAGTTAACCCCTCTTTTATTGTTGTTTTTTATTTCCTCTTCGTTATCTGTTATTCGGTGTATTTTAACTTTCTTTATTATCCCTTTTTATCATTTTCTTCCCTATTCTCTTGCTCTTTCCCGATCTGCATTTGACAATCTATCTTTGTTTCTATCATTACCGTTTATTCTCACTTTCTGTTTTAAGTTATTCGTTATTCCCATTAGATTCGTACATGCTTATTCCTTCATATAATTACAATAATGTTTATTTTTAAATAATCTAATGATTTAGAATTTAAAAATTTCATATAATATAGTTACTTCATAAAATAATTTCTATTTTTTCCATACATTTATACTAAATCTGTATTTCTGACATATTGGAAACCGGCCAAATACATCTCTTTATTATTAAGATATTCATTCTTTCTCATTCATACCTTTTCTACATTTTTCATCATGAATACACTGTATACTAAACCTTAATCTACGAATACATAAGATAAATTCTCGTTTGTTACAGTTTTCCTACATTTTTCATCGTGAATAAGCTGCATACTAAACCTTATTCCAAGAATACATAAGATAGATTCTCGTTTGTTTCAGTTATCCTACATTTCTCATCATGAATACGCTGCATACTAAACCTTATTCCAATAATACAGAAGGTAGATTCTCGTTTGTTACAGTTATCCTACATTTTTCATCATGAATACGGTTCATACTTAACCTTATTCCACGAATCCATAAGATTAATTTCGTTTGTTACAGTAATCCTACATTTTTCATCAAGAATACGCTGCATACTAAACCTTATTCCACGAATACATAAGATAGATTCTCGTTTGTTACAGTATCCTACATTTCTCATCATGAATACGCTGCATACTAAACCTTATTCCACGAATACATAAGATAGATTCTCGTTTGTTACAGTTATCCTACATTTCTCATCGTGAATACGCTGCATACTAAACCTTATTCCACGATACATAAGATAGATTCTCGTTTGTTACAGTTATCCTACATTTCTCATCATGAATACGCTGCATACTAAACCTTATTCCAAGAATACATAAGATAGATTCTCGTTTGTTACAGTTATCCTACATTTCTCATCATGAATACGCTGCATACTAAACCTTATTCCACGAATACATAAGATAGATTCTCGTTTGTTACAGTTACCCTACATCTTTCATCATGAATACGCTGCATACTAAACCTTATTCCACGAATACATAAGATAGATTCTCGTTTGTTTCAGTTATCCTACATTTCTCATCATGAATACGCTGCATACTAAACCTTATTCCAAGAATACATAAGATAGATTCTCGTTTGTTACAGTTATCCTACATTTCTCATCATGAATACGCTGCATACTAAACCTTATTCCACGAATACATAAGATAGATTCTCGTTTGTTACAGTTACCCTACATCTTTCATCATGAATACGCTGCATACTAAACCTTATTCCACGAATACATAAGATAGATTCTCGTTTGTTTCAGTTATCCTACATTTCTCATCATGAATACGCTGCATACTAAACCTTATTCCACGAATACATAAGATAGATTCTCGTTTGTTACAGTTACCCTACATCTTTCATCATGAATACGCTGCATACTAAACCTTATTCCACGAAATACATGATAGATTCTCGTTTGTTTCAGTTATCCTACATTTCTCATCATGAATGCGCTGCATACTAAACCTTATTTCAATAATACATAAGATAGATTCTTCTTTGTTACAGTTACCCTACATCTTTCATCATGAATACGCTGCATACTAAACCTTATTTCGAGAATCCATAAGATAGATTCTCGTTTGTTTCAGTTATCCTACATTTCTCATCATGAATACATAAGATAAATTCTCGTTTGTTACAGTTATCCTACATTTTTCATCATGAATACGCTGCATACTAAACCTTAATTCAGAATACAAAGATAAATTCTCGTTTGTTACAGTTATCCTACATTTTTCATCATGAATACGCTGCATACTAAACCTTATTCCACGAATACATAAGATAAATTCTCGTTTGTTACAGTTATCCTACATTTCTCATCATGAATACGCTGCATACTAAACCTTATTTCACGAATACATAAGATAAATTCTCGTTTGTTACAGTTATCCTACATTTTTCATCATGAATACGCTGCATACTAAACCTTATTCCAAGAATACATAAGATAGATTCTCGTTTGTTACAGTTATCCTACATTTCTCATCATGAATACGCTGCATACTAAACCTTATTTCACGAATACATAAGATAAATTCTCGTTTGTTACAGTTATCCTACATTTTTCATCATGAATACGCTGCATACTAAACCTTATTCCACGAATACATAGATTCTCGTTTGTTACAGCAAATACGCTGCATACTAAACCTTATTCCAAGAATACATAAGATAGATTCTCGTTTGTTACAGTTATCCTACATTTCTCATCAAGAATGCGCTGCATACTAAACCTTATTCCACGAATACATAAGATAGATTCTCGTTTGTTACAGTTATGCAGTGTGGGTTTGCGTTTCTGGAAGCAGGCTCAGTGAGGTCCAAAAACACCATTAATATCCTGGTTAAAAATATGCTAGATGTGTGTGAGTAGATTATTATATTTTTTTCTGTTTTTGAAAGGAAAGGGTTATATTTTGTTTGTTTTGTTGTGTTGAAAGTGTTTTTTTTCTTTATTTTATTTCTTGTTTGAATGTTTTGTCTTTTTTTTGCATCCCTTCTCTCTTTTTTCCGTCCTTCCGTGCCTCTGCTTCTTCTTTTTTACTCTTTCTTACTTCTCCTCTTCCTCGTCTTCTCCCACTTCCTCCCTTTCTTTCTTTCTTCAGTCCTTTCTCTCTCTCCCTCCTTTCTCTTTCTTCCTCACTCCCTCTTTCCTTCTCCTCTACCCTCCCTCCCTCCTTCCTCTACCCTCCTCTCCCTTCTCATTCTTCCACCTTCCCTCTTTCCCTCCATACTTCTCTACCCACCCTCCTACCTCCTCTTCCTTCCTCCCTCTTTTCCTCCTTCCTTCTCTTCTAAACTCCCTTCCTCCCTCTTTTCCTCCTTCCTTCTCTTCTAAACTCCCTTCCTCCCTCCCTCCTTCCCCCTCCCCCTCTTTTTCTTTCTCCCTCTTTCCCTCCTTCCTTCTTATCTTCCTTCCTCCCCCCTCTTTCCTTCCTTCTCTTTTACCCTCCTTCCTCCCCTCTTTCCTTCCTTCTCTCCTCTACCCTCCTTCCCTCCCTCCTCGACCCTCCTTCCCCCCTCCTCTCCCTTCCTCCCTTCTTATTCTTCCTCCCCCTCTTTCCTTCTTTTCTTCCTTCTCTACCCACCTTCCTCCCTCCCTCCCTCCTCAACCTTCCTCCCCTCCCCCCTCCTCCCCTCCCAAAAAACTCTCACAGCCTCTCTCTTTCCCCACCAGTCATCGGCGGCATATGCTACTGGCTGGTCGGCTACCCTCTGGCCTTCGGTGAGGGCAATGCCTTCTGCGGCGCCTCCTACTGGGCATCGTCAGGCCTGCCCGAGGACCGTCTGCCCACTGGTTCTTCCACTTCGTCTTCTCCGCCACCGCCGCCACCATCGTCTCCGGAGCCGTGGCGGAGAGGTGTGGCTTCGGCGCCTACGTCACGTACTCCGTGGCTCTGACGGGTAAGGCGTGTGGTTGTGTGCTGTGGTGTTTACGTACGTGCGTGTGTTTTATCTCTGCGTATCAGTCTTTGTCTTTGTCTCTGTCTGTCTGTCTCTGTCTTTGTCTTTGTCTTTGTCTTTGTCTTTGTCTTTGTCTCTGTCTCTGTCTCTGTCTCTGTCTCTGTCTCTGTCTCTCCCTCTCCCATCTCTGTCTCTCTCTCTGTCTCTGTCTCTGTCTCTCTCTCTCTCTCTCTCTCTCTCTCTCTCTCTCTCTCTCTCTCTCTCTCTCTCTCTCTCTCTCTCTCTCTCTCTCTCTCTCTCTCTCTCTCAGACACACACAGGCAGACAGCTCGACAGACAAGCAAGCAAACATACAGACAGACAAACAAAGAAACAAAACATACAAACAAACAAAGAACACACAAAGCGAGACCCTAAAATCAAACAAACCACAAAACAAAGTCACAGTCCGGAGCTTCGAACAAAAGACCGCTTCCTTCGAATCCCCTGAACCCGACTTCACAACCTTCCCCTACGCTCTTTTATCCTTCCTCTTCTCCGCTTCTCGCAACCCTCCTTACGTCCTTTCCTGCTTCCTCTTCTCCGCTTCTCTTCTTCCATTCATCTCTCCGTAGTTTCCTGTTGTTGAAAACTACGGAGGCGGAATAATAGACATAGAGCGGTGATTCGGTCAGGAGTCGAGACGCGCCATGCGAGACATCATGGGGCAGGGTTGTGTTTTTTTCGTATGCATGAAGGAACGGTGAAATGGTTTGCTGTTTGTGTTTGTAAATTTACTTGTTTGTTTATTTCTTTTATGTACGCACACACGCATACACGCACACACGGCACGAACACGCACACGCACACGCACACACGCATACACACGCATACACACGCATACACACGCATACACACACGCACACACACACACACACACACACACACACACACACACACACACACACACACACACACACACACCACACACACACACACACACACACACACACACACACACACACACACACACACACACACACACACACACACACACACACACACACACACCACACACACACACACCACACACACACACACACACGCACATTGGTTTCTCTCTCTCTCTTTTATTCTATTTTTTTCTGTCTACCATTCCATCTTTCTCTCTCTCTCTCTCTGAGTGTTCTATATATATGCATTTCTCAATAAGCTGACTATGACGATTCCAAACGGAAGTAAATATACAATCTATAAAATTCACAGAGACAGGAAATGTAAAATAGAGGAAAAGGGAAGGAAAATTGGTGATAATGACAGGTATTTCGAATATATATTTTTTATTCATTTTTCATATGATCTTCCGTTTTTTATTTTTAAACGATTTTAGTTCCGCCAAACATTTGAGTGCGTCCAAGGTTGTGTGTGCGTGTATAGTTTGTACATGATTTAAGGATGGATATAGAAAATATAGGTAGAAAGAACTGTTGTGTATATTATTGTGTGTGTGTGTGTGTGTGTGTGTTTGAATGTATGTGTTTGTGTGCGTGTGTGTTTGTATGTGTGTGTGTGTGTGTGTGTGTATGTGCGTGTGTTTGTGTGTGTGTGTGTGTGTGTGTGTGTGCGTGTGTAGTCTGTGCACGATTTAAGGATGGATATAGAAAGTATAGGTAGAAAGAACTGTTGTGTATATTATTGTGTGTGTGTGTTTGAATGTGTATGTGTTTGAATGTGTGTGTTTGAATGTGTGTGTGTGTGTGTGTGTGTGTGTGTGTGTGTGTGTGTGTGTCTGTGTACGTGTTTGTATGTGTATGTGTTTGTGTGTGTGTGTGTGTATATGTGTGTGTTTGCGCGTGTATGTGTATGTGTGCGCGAGCGTGTTTATATGTGTATATGTGTGTTTGTGCATGTGCGTATGTGTGTGTGTGTGTGTGTATCTGTGTACGTGTTTGTATGTCTGTGCGTGTGTGTATGTGTGCGTGTGTGTTTGTGCGTGTTTGTATGTGTATGTGTTTGTATGTGTATGTGTATGTGTATGTGTGTTTGTATGTGTGTGCGTTTGTGTATGTGTATGTGGGTGGGTGTATGTGTATATGCGCGTGTGTTTGCGCGTGTTTGTATGTATATGTGTTTGTGTGTGTGTATGTGTGTACGCGTGTTTGTATGTGTATGTGTTTGTGTGTTTGTATGTGTATGTGAATGTGTATGTGTGTCTGTGCGTGCGTGTACGTGTGAATGGCCACGAACAGTTCCATAATGCGAGGAATACAATCCGCTTTCCATCATGATCCATTCATCACAATAACATTATTCTCATGAACATCTGACGTCGAAACATCAGTAACATATCTTACATTTGTAGGAATTACATTTTTTTTACCTTTCCTCTAAGTCCTTCATTTTTGTTCGTTGTCCATTTCCCACATTTATACATTTTTTTTTACCTTTCCTCTAAGTCCTTCATTTTTGTTCGTTGTCCATTTCCCACATTTATACATTTTCTACCTTTCCTCTTAGTCCTTCATTTTTGTCCTTTGTCCATTTCCCACATTTATACATATTTCTATATTTCCTTTAAGTCGTTCATTTTTGTTCATTGTCCATTTCCCACATTTATACATATCTTTACCTTTCCTCTAAATCTATCACTTTCTTTCACGTTCTCTCTGTCTCTTTCCTCTCTTTAAATCATTCACTTTCATTCACACTTGTCCATTTCCCAAATTTATACATTTTTCTCTATTTCCTCTACATCAATTACTTTCTTTCACGTTCTCTCTGTCTCTTCCCTCTTTCTAAATCATTCACTCTCATTCACACTTGTCCATATCCCACATTTTATACATTTTTCTATATTTCCTCTACATCAATCACTTTCTTTCACGTTCTCTCTGTCTCTTCCCTCTTTCTAAATCATTCACTCTCATTCACACTTATGCGTCTCACCCTCTTTCGTCTCGTTCAATCATTCACTTTATTTCACACTTATACGTCTCTCTACCCCTTTTTCTCTCTTTAAATAATTCACACTTGTCCATTCCCCCCATTTATACATTTTTCTACCTCTTTCACTTTCTTTCACGTTCTCTCTGCCTCTTCCCTCTCTTTAAATAATTCACTTTCATTCACACTTGTCCATTTCCCACATTTATGCATTTTTCTACCTCTTTCACTTTCTTTCACGTTCTCTCTGCCTCTTCCCTCTCTTTAAATAATTCACTTCATTCACACTTGTCCATTTCCCACATTTATGCATTTTTCTACCTCTTTCACTTTCTTTCACGTTCTCTCTGCCTCTTCCCTCTCTTTAAATAATTCACTTTCATTCACACTTGTCCATTTCCACATTTATGCATTTTTCTACCTCTTTCACTTTCTTTCACGTTCTCTCTGCCTCTTCCCTCTCTTTAAATAATTCACTTTCATTCACACTTGTCCATTTCCCACATTTATGCATTTTTCTACCTCTTTCACTTTCTTTCACGTTCTCTCTGCCTCTTCCCTCTCTTTAAATAATTCACTTTCATTCACACTTGTCCATTTCCCACATTTATGCATTTTTCTACCTCTTTCACTTTCTTTCACGTTCTCTCTGCCTCTTCCCTCTCTTTAAATAATTCACTTTCATTCACACTTGTCCATTTCCCACATTTATGCATTTTTCTACCTTTCCTCTAAATCATTCACTTTCTTTCACACTTCACCGTTCCTCTGTCTCTTTTCTCTCTCTAAATCATTCATCTTCTTATACTTGCCACATTTATACATTTTTCTACCTCTTTCCTCTAAATCATTCACTCTGCCTCTTTCGTCTCTTTAAATCATTCACTTTCTTTCACACTTATACGTCTCTCTATCTCTTCCGTCTCTTGAAATCTTTCACTCTCATTTACGTTTTGTCTGCCTCTTTCCTCTCACTAAATCATTCATCCTCTTATATTTGCCACATTCATAAATTTTTCTACCTCTTTCCTCTAAATCATTCACTTTCTTTCACGCATATACGTATCTCTCTACCTCTTTCGTCTCTTTAAATCATTCACTTTAATTCACACTTATACGTCTCTCTGCCTCTTTCGTCTCTTTGAATCATTCACTCTCATTCACACTTATACGCCTCAACCTCTTTCGTCTCTTTAAATCATTTCTCACATGTATACATTTTTCTACCTCTTTCCTTTAAATCATTCCCTTTCTTTCACGTTCCCTCTGCCTCTTCCATATCTCTAAATCATTCACTTTAATTCACATACGTCTCTCTACCTCTTTCCTCTCTCTAAATCATTCACTTTAATTCACACTTATACGTCTCTTTCAATCATTCACTTTCATTCACACATACGTATCTCGACCTCTTCCACCTCTCTAAATCATTCACTTTCTTTCACACTTATACGTCTCTTTCAATCATTCACTCTCATTCACACTTATACGTCTCTCTAAATCATTCACTCTTATTCACACTTATACGTCTCTCTCGACCTCTTTCCTCTCTCTAAATCATTCACTCATTCACACTTATACGTCTCTTTCAATCATTCACTCTTATTCACACTTATACGTCTCTCTCGACCTCTTTCGTCTCTCTAAATCATTCACTTTCTTTCACACTTATACGTCTCTCTCGACCTCTTTCCTCTCTCTAAATCATTCACTTTCATTCACACATACGTCTATTCCTCTTTCCTCTCTCTAAACCATTCACTCTCATTCACACTTATACGTCTCTCTCGACCTCTTTCCTCAGGCCTCATCTACCCCATCATCAGCCACTGGACTTGGGCACCGGACGGCTGGCTCGCCTCCCTCGGCTACCGGGATTTCGCAGGCTCTGGGGTCGTCCACGTGACAGGGGGCGTGGCTGCTCTGGTGGGGGCGGTCCTGCTAGGTCCTCGCCACGCCCCCCTCGGCAGCGGCAGGCAGGTCATTCGAGGTCATTCGCTTCCGGTGTGTGTTTTTGTTTGTTTTGTTTTGTGCGAGGGAGTGTTGTTGTTATGAGGTAGTTTGAGATGGAGGGATAGATAGATAGAGTAATAGATAGACATAAGAACCATGGATATATAATTAGATAAGTAATAAAATATGGATATACTGTTTAGATAGAGTAATAGATAGATAAAATGACCATGGATTAATTCATTATGTAATTACATATGAACATACTGTTTAGTAATAGATATAATGATCATGGACTAATTAATAATGCAATTAAATATGTAATTAAATATGAATATGTTATTTAGATAGAGTAATAGATATAATGACCATGGACTAATTCAATGTGTAATTAAAAATGTAATTAACAGCTTCTGGGAGGCTTCATTACACCTCATAATTAACAGCTTTTGGGGGTTTAATTTCCTATTGCAATTAACAGCTTTTTAATTAAATATGAATATACTGTTTAGTTAGAGTAATAGATGGATATAAGGACCATGGACTAATTCAACATGTAATTAAATATGTAAATGAATATGTAATTAAAAATGAATATACTGTTTGCATACTTTATGTACATTAATTGCTTAATTAAAGGTAACGCCCATTATGCATTCCCGTAGCCATTCTCTCGGAGGTTTCAATTCCCCCTTTCAGCTAACATCTTCTGGGGGTTTCATTTCCCCTCGTAATTAACAGCTATTAGAGGTTTCATTTCCCCCTTTCAGCTAACATCTTCTGGGGGTTTCATTTCCCCTCGTAATTAACAGCTATTAGAGGTTTCATTTCCCCCTTTCAGCTAACATCTTCTGGGGGTTTCATTTCCCCTCGTAATTAACAGCTATTAGAGGTTTCATTTTCTCCAATAGCTAACATCTTCTGGGGGTTTCATTTCCCCTCGTAATTAACAGCTATTAGATTTCCCCCTTTCAGCTAACATCTTCTGGGGGTTTCATTTCCCCTCGTAATTAACAGCTATTAGAGGTTTCATTTTCTCCAATAGCTAACATTTCTGGAGGTTTCATAGCCTCTCGTAATTAACAGCTTTTAGAGGTTTCATTTCCCCTTGTAATCAACACCAGGAGGTTTCATTTCCCCTCTTATCTAACATCTTTAGTGGTTTCATTTCCCCTTGTAATCAACTGCAGGAGGTTTCGTTTCCCCTCTTATCTAACATCTTTAGTGGTTTCATTTCCCCTTGTAATCAACTGCAGGAGGTTTCATTTCCCCTCTTATCTAACATCTTTAGTGGTTTCATTTCCCCTTGTAATCAACTGCAGGAGGTTTCGTTTCCCCTCTTATCTAACATCTTTAGTGGTTTCATTTCCCCTTGTAATCAACTGCAGGAGGTTTCGTTTCCCCTTGCATCTAACATCAGGAGGTTTCATCTCCCCTCGTGACCATCTTTTAGTGGTTTCACTTTCCCTTGTACCTAACATCTAGAGGTTTCACTTTCCCCTCACAGCTAACATCGAGGTTTCATTTCCCCTCATATCTAACATTAGGAGGTTTAATTTCCCCTTGTAACTAACAGATTTTATTTCCCCTCATAGCTAACATCAGGAGGTTTCATTTCCCCTCGTATCTAACATCGTTTCATTTTCCTCGTCAGGAGGTTTCATTTCCCCTCGTAACTAACATCAGGAGGTTTTCATTTTCCTCGTTTCATTTCCCTCGTAACTAATCAGGAGGTTTCATTTCCCCTCGTATCTAACATCAGGAGGTTTCATTTCCCTCGTTCTAACATCAGGAGGTTTCATTTCCCTCGTCTAACTCGTTTCTTCGTATCTCTTTCTCTAACATCAGGAGGTTTCATTTCCCCTCGTAACTAACATCAGGAGGTTTCATTTCCCCTCGGGGTTTTCATTCCCTCGTATCTAACATCAGGAGGTTTCATTTCCCTCGTAACTAACATCAGGAGGTTTCATTTCCCCCTCGTATCTAACATCAGGAGGTTTCATTTCCCTCGTAAAACATCAGGAGGTTTCATTTCCCCTCGAGGTTTCATTTTCCTCACTTTCAAAACATCAGGAGGTTTCATTTCCCCTCGTAACTAACATCAGGAGGTTTCATTTCCCCTCGTATCTAACATCAGGAGGTTTCATTTTCCCTCGTAACTAACATCAGGAGGTTTCATTTCCCCTCGTATCTAACATCAGGAGGTTTCATTTCCCTCGTAACTAACATCAGGAGTTTCATAACATCAGGTTTCATTTCCCTCGTACTAACATCAGGAGGTTTCATTTCCCCTCGTAACTAACATCAGGAGGTTTCATTCCCTCGTAACTAACATCAGGAGGTTCATTTCCCCTCGTAACTAACATCAGGAGGTTTCATTTCCCTCAACATCAGAGGTTTCATTTCCCCTCGTAACTAACATCAGGAGTTCATTTTCCCTCGTATCTAACATCAGGAGGTTTCATTTCCCCTCGTACAACATCAGGAGGTTTCATTTCCCTCGTATCTAACATCAGGAGGTTTCATTTTCCCTCGTAACTAACATCAGGAGGTTTCATTTCCCCTCGTAACTAACATCAGGAGGTTTCATTTCCCTCGTAACATAATTTCCCTCGTAACTAACATCAGGAGGTTTCATTTCCCCTCGTAACTAACATCAGGAGGTTTCATTTCCCCTCGCATCAGGATTTCATTTCCCTCGTAACTAACATCAGGAGGTTTCATTTCCCTCGTAACTAACATCAGGAGGTTTCATTTCCCCTCGTAACTAACATCAGGAGGTTTCTTTCCCCTCGTAACTAACATCAGGAGGTTTCATTTCCCCTCGTAACTAACATCAGGAGGTTTCATTTTCCCTCGTAACTAACATCAGGAGGTTTCATTTCCCCTCGTAACTAACATCAGGAGGTTTCATTTCCCCTCGTAACTAACATCAGGAGGTTTCATTTCCCTCGTAACTAACATCAGGAGGTTTTCATTTCCTCGTAACTAACATCAGGAGGTTTATTTCCCCTCGTAACTAACATCAGGAGGTTTCATTTCCCCTCGTCAGGAGGTTTCATTTCCCTCGTAAACTAACATCAGGAGGTTTCATTTCCCCTCGTAACTAACATCAGGAGGTTTCATTTCCCCTCGTATCTAACATCAGGAGGTTTCATTTTCCCTCGTAACTAACATCAGGAGGTTTCATTTCCCCTCGTATCTAACATCAGGAGGTTTCATTTCCCCTCGTATCTAACATCAGGAGGTTTCATTTCCCCTCGTATCTAACATCAGGAGGTTTCATTTCCCTCGTATCTAACATCAGAGGTTTCATTTCCCTCGTAACTACATCAGGAGGTTTCATTTCCCCTCGTATCTAACATCAGGAGGTTTCATTTCCCCTCGTAACTAACATCAGGAGGTTCATTTCCCCTCGAACATCAGGAGGTTTTCATTTCCCCTCGTAACTAACATCAGGAGGTTTCATTTCCCTCGTAACTACATCAGGAGGTTTCATTTCCCCTCGTAACTAACATCAGGAGGTTTCATTTCCCCTCGTCAACTAACATCAGGAGGGTCAGGTTTCATTTCCCTCGTATCTAACATCAGGAGGTTTCATTTCCCTCGTCGTTCATCTAACATCAGGAGGTTTCATTTCCCCTCGTATCTAACATCAGGAGGTTTCATTTCCCCTCGTAACTAACATCAGGAGGTTTCATTTCCCCTCGTAACTAACATCAGGAGGTTTCATTTCCCCTCGTAACTAACATCGTTTCATTTCCCCTCGTAACTAACATCAGGAGGTTTCATTTCCCCTCGTAACTAACTTTTCATTTTCTTAGGTGGTTTCATTTCCCCTCGTAACTAACATCTAGAGGTTTCACTTTCCCTCGTAACTAACAACTAGAAGTTTCACTTTCCCTCGTAACTAACATCAGGAGGTTTCATTTCCGCTCATATCTAACATCAGGAGGTTTCACTTTCCCCTCACAGCTAACATCGAGGTTTCATTTCCACTCATATCTAACATTAGGAGGTTTAATTTCCCCTTGTAACTAACAGGTTTTATTTCCCCTCATAGCTAACATCAGGAGGTTTCACTTTCCCCTCCCAGCTAACATATTCTGGAGGTTGTAATTAACATCAGGAGGTTTCATTTCCCCTCGTAACTAACAACTAGAAGTTTCACTTTCCCTCGTAACTAACATCAGGAGGTTTTATCTCCCCTCGTAACTAACATCTAAAGGTTTCACTTTCCTCGTTCATCTAAAGGTTTCCCCTCGTAACTAACATCTAAAGGTTTCACTAAACATCAGGAGGCTTTCCCCTCGTATCTAACATCAGGAGGTTTCATCTCTCCTGGTGACCAACATCTTTAGTGGTTTCATTTCCCCTCGTAACTAACATCATGAGGTTTCATTTCCCCTCGTGACTAACAGATTCTGGAGGTTGTAATTAACATCAGGAGGTTTCATTTCCCCTCGTGACTAACAGATTCTGGAGGTTGTAACTAACATCGAGAGGTTTCACTGTTCCCTCACAGCTAACATCTAGAGGTTTCACTTTCCCTCGTTATTAACATCGGGAGGTTTCATTTCCCCTCGTGACTAACAGATTCTGGAGGTTGTAATTAACATCAGGAGGTTTCACTTCCCCTCGTAACTAACATCATGAGGTTTCACTTTCCCTCGTATCTAACATTAGGAAGGTTCATTTCCCCTCGTAACTAACCGGGAATTTTCACTGTTCCCTCACAGCTAACATCAGAAGGTTTCACTTTCCCCTCGTGACTAACATATTCTGGAGGTTGTAACTAACATCATGAGGTTTCATTTCCCCTCACAGCTAACAGCATTCGGAGGCTTCACCATCCTCTTCGGTTTCCTGGCTTTCAACTGCGGGGCTCAAGGCACCATCACGCGAGAGGGAGACGCGCAGGTGAGAAATGAAGTTGTGAAGTTTATAACATGGTTGTGAAGTTAAGCAAGTAAGAATTGAGGTTGTGAAGGTTGTATTATAATGTGAATGTGGAGTTAAGCAAGTAAGAAGGGGAATTGTGAGGTTTATAAGAAAGTTGTGAAGTTAAACAAGTAAGAAATGAAATTGTGAAGTTAAGCAAATAAGAAACGGAATTGTGAAGTTAAGTTAAGCAAGTAAAGAAATTAAATTGTGAAGGTTGTAATATAATGTAAATGTGAAGCTAAGCAAGTAAGAAGGGGAATTGTGAAGTTTATAAGAAAGTTGTGAAGTTAAGCAAGTAAGAAGGGGAATTGTGGAATTTATAACATGGTTGTGAAATTAAGCAAGTAAGAATTGAAGTTGTGAAGGTTGTAATATAATGTAAATGTGAAGGTAAGCAAATAAGAATTGAAATTGTGAAGTTTTTAAGATAGTTGTGAAGATAAGCAAGTAAGAAAGGGGACTGTGAAGTTTATAACATGGTTGTGAAGTTTGGCAAGTAAGAATTGAGGTTGTGAAGGTTGTAATATAATGTGAATGTGAAGTTAAGCAAGTAAGAAGGGGTATTGTGAAGTTTTTAAGATAGTTGTGAAGTTAAGCAAGTAAGAAAAGGAATTGTGAAGGTTGTAATATAATGTAAATGTGAAGTTAAGCAAGTAAGAAAAGGAATTATGAAGATTATAACAAACATGATTGTGAAGTTAAGTAAGTATAAGTTGAAATTGTGAAGTTTATGAGAAACATGATTGTGGTTAAACAAGCAAGTGAGAATTGAAGTTGTGAAGGTTGTAATATAATGTAAATGTGAAGTTAAGCAAGTAAGAAATGAAGTGAAGTTAAGCAAGTAAGAAACGGATTTGTAAAGTTTATAACAAACGTATTTGTGAAGTTAAGCAAGCAAGAGATGAAATTCTGAAGTTTAGAACAAAGGTAATTGTGAAGTTAAGCAAGTAGCAAATGAAATTGTGGTTTATAACATGGTTGTGAAGTTAAGCAAGTAAGAAACGGAATTGTGAAGTTTGTAACAAAACCTAAATGTTCCCTCCTATTCTCAACTTTTTCCCGCCACACAGGTAGTGGGGAGAACATCCATCCCGCAATTTAACGACATGCATCACCCATTTTAATAACACCTTCATTACAACCCTCTCAAAACAAAGCCAAAACCAAAAAAAATCCTAAAATCACCATATCACCGCATCACTAAAATATTCCCTCCCATTCACACTTTTTCCCGCCAAACAGGTAGTGGGTAGAACATCCATCCCGCAATTTGACGACATACAACACCCATTTCAATAACAACACCATTACAACCCTCACCAAAACCAAAAAAATCCTAAAATCACCATCATACTAACGCATCACCAAACTATCCCCTTCCAATTCAAACATTTTTTTCCCGCCAAACAGGTAGTGGGGAGAGTCGTCTTTAATACCGCGCTCTCTGGCTGTTCGGGCGGAGTCTGTGTCCTCTTCTTGCACAGGACGGTTCGGCGCCGCTCCAAGGCTTGTTGGTCTTTCCTCATGGCACTCAATGGGGCCATGACTGGTATGGTGGGTGTGGGTTGCCATTTACTGATATTTTACTATTAGTTTTGTTATTATTTTAGTTATTATGGTAATTTTCTATATTACGTCCGCATAACCGATATCGACGATTTTCGTATCGTTGTATTCCTCTCACTCTCCACATTGCAAATATATAGTGCTTATTGCGCGGAAACCCCCCGTTAGCGACAAACTTGGCCCCGATAGCAGGGGAGGGCATGAAAGGTTCCAGGGAAAATGCGGGGTTAAATAACACCAATAATATAACCAACAGTGAAAATAACCATGGTTATTCACATAACTTTCCATTGCAGGGGGCTGTGCCCCCTGCGACCCCCAACCCCCGCCGAGGAAACAAAACCTCCACGCCGTATTCCCGGCAGGCTAGAGCGTTACACAATCATCGTCGATGTCGGAGCGGCGGGCGTAATATTACAATTACCTCGTAAGATTCCCACTGAATCAGCATATTAACCTTATTATAGTCAGCATTGTATATAGAGACGATTGTAGTATAATCAGGATGAACAGGGTGGCCCGCCCTCGTAGGCGGGTTTTGCACCTCTTTCGATGTTACACCGATGGCCTCAAGGTCGATTTTCCCTTCTGGAATAACGACATTCGTATTCCTAACCGAAATAACCGTCGCGTTCAGAAGTCAGTCATAGCCGCCGCGATGGCCGAGTGTGGAGGGTGCTCGTACTCCGAGACGGATTTTCTGCGCGAGATTGCCATTAGCCAAGAAAAAATGCTAGAGATGTGCTTCCGCCACGGCCTCCTCCGTCGGGAGAAAGCTGTATCCTCCGGCCTAGGACCTCCTGCCGGACGCACCCTGCCTCCTTCACCTTCTGCGGCAAAGGAGCACCCTCCCTACTAATTAGCGGCATTAATCAATCAGGTTAGTACCTTAAAAATCCTAGGTTATTGTAGGTTATGGGCTCCGCATCTAGTTCGTGTGCGCTCTATCCTGCCGTGAATACGTGGTGGAGGTTTTGTTTCCTCGGCGGGGGTTGGGGGCGGCAGCCTCCCCAAGGGGGGTCTGCAATGGAAAGCCATGTGAATAACCATGATTATTTTCACTGAGGTTATATTATTAGGGTAATATTATATATTACGTCCGCCGCTCCGACATCGTCGCCCCTGCTATCGGGGCCAAGTTTGTCGCTAACAGAGGGTTTCCGCGCAATAAAACCTACATGTTTGCATTGTATAGAGTGAGAGGAATCCAATGATACGAAAATCGTCGATATCGGTCTTGCGGACGTAATATAGAAAATTACCTCTACACAATTTCCTCGTATTTCCTTCATCGCCATTATCATCACTAATATAACTTCATCATTTCCACTCACTTGCATTGCAACCTCCCCCCTCACCCACCCGCATTCCTCCTACCCCCTCCCCCCCACCCCTCCCTCCCCCTCACCGCCACTCTCTTCCTCCTGCCCCCCTCACCCCTCCACTCCCTCCCCCCACACCCGCCACCCTACTCCCCCCCTCACATGCCACCCCCTTCCTCCCCCCCTCACATGCCACCCCCTTCCTCCCCCTCTCACCCGCCACCCTTCCTCCCCCCTACCCCCTCACCCACCACCCCTTCCCTCCCCCACCCACCACCCCCCTCCCTCCCCGCCAGGTGTCGAGCTGTGCCGGCTGCGACGCCCTCCGACCGTGGGCGGCTTGTCTCACGGGCGTCTTGGCTGGCTTCGTGTTCTTCGCTGGCCACCATCTCCTCCTCCGGCTCAATGGCATGTCCTGATTTTGTTTTTATTTACTTCTGTTGTTATTTTATTATGGTTTTTACTTTTATTCGTTTTTTTTCATTGTTTTTATTATTAGTTTTTTAGTTTTTTTTTTATTCGTTGGTTTTTGTTTATTGGCAGTCGTGTTTGTTTCTTTGTTTAAGCAAGTG